TAAGGTTTCCAGATCCGATCGGCAACAGACCATGGATCCGAACAAATAATAGCATCGATATAGCTATCACACAAAACATTTAGCACATAAAAGCATTTTAGGCATTATTCCTAAAATAAACTAGTGCTTGTGTCAATTTAGGTGTACTACCTAACATATTTTAGACACACTCCTCACGGTCATTACTTAGCATTCTAAGTTTAAGTCTAGAAATTTCCTACAAATTCCTAGTTCGCTTAAACTAATGCTCTGATACCAACTGTGACATCCCCAATTTCACGGCCAGAAAAGACCGATTTGTTTATGCTTTGTTTTATAAAATCAGAGTAATCCTTTGATTAAAAGAGTTGCAGAATTTGTTCCCAAAATAAAATATGATAAAATAAAATTTATCAAAGCATTTCTTAAAGAAATGTATTTTCATTAAATAACAAAATCTCGGGATGTCATGTTCCGATACAGACCAAAAGCATAAACAATATAAAATAGACCTTACAACAGTTATTTATAACTACTGATCTATAATCCAAAATCTCTCGTCAAGTCCACCAACTTATACCCTTGTGTCATTACCTGTAATGTAAAGAAAACTGAGTGGGTCAGGCTTGGGAGCCTGGTGAGCATATAGGGTTTTCAACCCACAAGAATATAATTATTATATTTAATCATCAAACAATCAACCCAATTACTCATCCCCATTATCTTCGTTTAATCTTCCCTAAAGATAGTATCCTAAGGGTCATCTCCTATATCATATTTACCTCTCATCTCCTTACATCTTATTTCCTTATATGTTTGTTCCTAAGAACTTTTCCCTAAGGATCATCGCCTACATCACATAGACAATACTAATTCGGGGATCACTCCCTCAATATGTGTCTAGTAAGGGTTAGGGTATCATCGCATGATTACGCAGCCACAACATTGCCTGGACTCGTAAATCATAATAAGGGTTAGACTATCATCGCATGAATACGTAGCCACAACATCGCCTGGACTCGTAATTCATAATAAGGGTTAGACTATCATCGCATGAATACGCAGCCACAACATCGCCTGGACTCGTAATTCATCACCTATCTATCATCACCTAATTATCATCACCATTATATCCTCACCTATCTCTCATCACATTATTTCATCACACACCAACTATTTCATCTACCCATGTTCTACCCAACATATTTGTAGATATAAATTACATATACAGTTTAAAATTATTTAAAAACTCGTATAAAACATTCATTCAGCATCCATCTCAAGTAAACAAACAATGTATAAACATGTAGCACGTATTTCATAGCAAATACTTCATATCTATGTGTTAGAAGAAAGTAACTACACACTCACACCAAACATATACTTAATACATTCAAAGCAATACTTGTATTAAATCGTGTTTATGAAAGGGACTATACACTCACTTGATCAGAAGATAATCGGGCAGCACTACGGCTCTAAGAGTAGTAGCTCTTCGGTGAAACTAGAAGATCCTCACACACCGGGCTTCTCGCAGGCAGAGCTTCCGCTCGGAAACTCTTTTCTTCTCGGGATCTTCGGGCTTTGGGACTTGCTTCGGGTCTCGGGATGATACCGGGGCTTCGGGGGGTTAAAAATAAGGCTTAGAGAGAGTATCGGGAGTGAGAGAGAAGAGACGGAGCAACCAAAATCGGCTGACCCTTGATTTCTATTTATAGGGTGAAATTTCTGCACTCACGTCGTGAGTTTTAAGTGTTCACGTCGTGAGCACAGTAGGTCACTGCGTTCGTCACTCGTCCACTTGCTCTGGAGGCTCCAGAAGGCGTCAGAAGTCAGTTCACGTCGTGAACACTGTTTTCACATCGTGAACCCTAACAGTTTTGGGGTTTCGCGCCCGAACTTCAGAAATTCATAACTTTCGCATACAAACTCCGTTTTCGACGTTCTTTATATCGACGCGAAGGTGAGATTATGATCTACAACTCTCGTTTAGACTCCGTTGGCTAATTTTGACGTTAATTTTAATATATTATTAATATATTATTTTTAGTAGGCCGGGACAGGAAAACTCCGTTCGAAATTCATAACTCCTTCATCTGAACTCCGTTTTCGTCTGTCTTCTTATCGTTGGACTACTATTGATGAGATCTTCAATTCTCATTTAGAAAGTTTTGGCTAAATATCACTCGACCTCAATCTCGAGTTTCGGGCTGCATACTACTAATGCTGAAACTTCGAAAAATCATAACTTCCTCATACGAAGTCAGATTTAGACGTTCTTTTTATGCACGCTCTCGGTTTAACGTATTCTACGACTTTCATTTAGATCGCTAAGGCCAAATATCGCTCTAACGTAAATTCACTATTTACGTCGCGCTGTGTCGTGCCGGTTCTGTCGCGAAACTTTGACAGGTCATAACTTCTTCGTTATAACTCAGATTTCGGCGTTCTTTATATGTATGGAATCCTTGTAACATATACTACAACTTAGTTAAGATTACACCTTATAAATAATCTTCCATCAAAAAGTCATTTTTGATGCTTATCGTCTCTAAATTGACTAGCCCGGATCTACAGACGTTACAGGCCGTTGCTATGACGTCTATCCGTAGGATTTCAACTACAACACACTTCGATCACAATTCCGTAACAATGAATTTTGTAGCAAATTCCGCATCTATTTTGTTTCGTAGCAAATTCCGTAGCCATTTGGTCCATAGTAAATTCCATAGCTAATTGTTCTGTAGCAAATTCCGTAGCCATTCGTTCCGTAACAAATTCCGTAGCCATTTGGTCCATAGCAAATTCCGTAGCTAATTATTCCGTAGCTATTCGTTCCGTAACAAATTCCGTAGCCATTTGGTCCATAGCAAATTCCGAAGCTAATTGTTCCGTAGCAAATTCCGTAGCCATTTGTTCCGTAGCAAATTTCGTAACAACTTTTTTGTTGTCAATTCCATAACAATTGTTCCATACCATTTTTTCTATAAAATTTGGTTATTTAATTTGACTTATTATATCAATTTACAAAAATACAATTAATATAAAACCAAAAATAATAAAGTATTTCTATAGAAACTAAAAGACATCCAATACATCAAAAGATACATATTTCAAAGTCAAAAGTCGCTACAAATTTAACGTAAAACATTATTCCATACATAATATTCTATCATTGATTAATAAAAGTTTTGACATGTTCACTCAATGTGTTAATGACATTCATTGCTTGTGCAAGTTGTTGTTCAAAATTTGCTTGAACATCCACATTTTTCTGCTGAAACTCCACATTCTTTTTCTGAGCATCCTCATATTTTTGCTGAACATCCTCATATTTTTGTTGAATATCCTCATATTGTTCGCGTTGCGTCTCAACTAACTTCTTCAAATTCTCAATCTCGACTTTTTTCTCGGCATTATTATCTTCATATTGTTCGCGATGCGTTTCAGAAGATCCTTTACTAGAACGAATGCGCTTTCCATATGAGCTAAATCCATATAATCTCTTTTTTCGATCATGTCCCCCAACAACATCATAAAATAGTTTGTCCTCATCAATTTCCTCTCCTATCGCTTCCAACCGATCACATCGTTCCATAAAATCATCCTATAATTTTATAATTGTGTTGAGATAAAACTTATACAAAAAAAAATCAAAATAAAACTTACATGAAATTATTCAAAATAAAACTTACATGAATTTTTTTTAGCTTTGTCAACTAAAAAAGTCACTCTATCATGATTCTTAGTGTGTGTATACAAGAATAGTTCATGGTGTGCCGGATCATGTCCCCAAAGCTTCTTCTACATATATACAAAAAAATCAATATTAAAGTAGATTGCTTTGTTTACTAGATTGTTATGATACAAAAGTAAATGAAAGTAGATTGCTATTTTTTGCATTTAGGCTCCACTCTCTAAAAATGAAAAATAAAATAACATACTTTTTAGGATTAGTCCTTTTAAAAATCAAAATGGAACTAGAAAAACTATAACATACAACTAAATGAAAGTATATTGCTATTTTATGTATTTATGCTTAGTCCTTTTAAAAATCAAAATGGATCTAAAATGCTATAATATAAAACTAAAGGAAAGTATATTGCTATTTTATGCATTTAGGCTTAGTCCTTATAAAAATCAAAATAGAACTAGATAATGGTATTTCTAAATGAAAGTAGATTGCTAGAATATAAAATTAAATGAATACTTACTAAATCAGAAGCAATCTTGGAATGAGAAGCCGATCCACCGGTATGTGTAGAAAGGGCTTGACCATCAGCTACACCTCTACGCCTATTTTTTTTGTTTTGTTCTGATTTCTTCTTGAACTCTTTAGTATTCCATCTGGCAGTCCAGGATGTCCACACTTCTGATGTTATATTAACAGTTTTTTTTAGAGTCGACTTTTTCCATTTTGAGCTTATATTGTAGATATATTGTCTATATCTTTCCTTTGCCTTATTTTCCCAACAAGCTTGGACTAACGGAGTTTTTGCATCATCCCAATAGCACTTTTTCTACAATACAAAATATATAGATGAGTTTTTTAGTTAATGAGTACCTAATAATTGCATAAACGAGATACATACATGAAACTCGTCCCAATAAAGGAGTTTTGTCTCGTCGCTTAAAGTTGCCCAGCTATACCCGTTTAAATCAGCTCTTTCACCAAAGGATTCATAGATAACGGAAGAACATGGGCCCGAAGGAAATAACCTACAAAAGAAAAAATTAACAGCATTGTAAAAATCATGAAGCTCAATGTTGATAAAAATGTACGAATTTTAACTTACTCCTTATCTCGCACTCTAATATATAGACGCCCATCCATTCCTGTAGATCCAAGTAAATACCCTTGATGTTGAACGCCAACATTTTCCTCAACCGATTCACTACAATTTCCTGTGGATCTAGGTATAGATGATGTAGTAGATGCATGTGTAGATGATTGGATAGATGTAGGTACACATGATTGGGTAGATGATGTAGGTAAGGATGACTGGTTGGATGATGTAGGTATGGATGATGGATGTGTTGATGATGTAGTACCAAGATGTGAAACAAATGTTGGGACAGATACAATACCAACAGATGATAATGTGGTACGAGATGATGATGACGATAATGCTGGTGTAGATAATGGGGCAAATATATTACCAACAGATTTTGCATCATCGGTACGTTTGTTTATGAAACGTACATTTGTATGTTGCTTTCGTTTCAATGTGTATCTTAATAAGAATTGTGACATCTTTCCTGAAATTTTAAAAACTTAGGAAGTTATAAATCTGTTAGATCACAAATATTATAGAAATATCTTACTAAAAATTTAAGCATACTACTTTTTACTTTAAAATAACAATGTACTTTTGTTTTCTTATTTATTTTAGCATCCTACTTTTTACTTTGAAAAATACAAAAACTAAAAGTATAATGCAAATACTTTAATGAAAGTAGATTGCTATATTTTTCATTTAAAAATGAAAAAAATAATAACTTACAATGTCACCTTGTCGATAAATTTTGGTAGCTAATTATCAACAATATTGATTACTGTTATTATTAATGTTAATAAATTATAATAAGTATTACTAATAATACTACAATAACTATGAAAATATTATTATAACCATTTACTATACTTTTATACAAAAATACAACTGTTGTTTGAAAGGGTAAACACTATGGGCGTAAATGATATTATAAATATGTCAAATTGACACTTCCTTTTAAAAAGAAGTACCTATTTAATAGCATCATTGCTCATTCATAACTCATATAATACATAATAGAAAATAGAAAAAATAAAAATAAAGAAAATTATTTCGTGGTTGAGTATCCGCCACCTGCCATAGACCAAAAACTTTTTATTTTCTTACAATATGGTTTCGAGTTTCGACACCTTTGTTATCTTTCAACATTACTGGACGAGACTTTCTTCTTCCAAATAACGACTATGTCCATTCATAAGAATTATCAATTATAACTGAAAAGACTCGAGCATGAGTTTTGTGACACAGATGTAACCCTATGTAATTAACAAGTTGTACAAAAGTACCTATATTAAATTATAGTAATATAACAAACTTATTTATGAATGCAAAATACTAATTAGGATATTAGATATGCTAAAATGAACAATTATAAACATCTCCTTTGTAATTTTATCTAGCCTAAGATCTACGTATAACATACTTTACTATTTTTCTTTTAATATTTGCACAAACTTGGTAATCGATTTAAAAGGAAACTCACACCTTCACTTTTTTCCCAATGAACACCATGAAAAAGGGATTTGTGCATTAGTGCCAGGTATGGAGATTGAGATCTTTACCTTAAAAGAGCAACCCAAAGTGTTAGTGGTAACTACTAAATTTAGTATATTATTATATACTTGTGTTAATGTTGAAGAATTATGGTTATAGATTATCACGGGCTAAGTCTCTTGTTGTTGAGATCATTGAAACAAAGATGAAGAGAAGGTGTTTGATGAAATGCTCAAATGAAAAAAAAAACATTTTACAGTGGGATTAAACTATATATTCCAACTTTGTAGTGTCTAGGTATATTTTGAACTAAAATGAAGTTTGCAATGAATTTAGAGCTTGTATGATTTATTTACAAAATCACATTTAGCTTCTAATTTGACCTACCAATCTGTATTGTATCTTTCATAAATTGGGATTTGAATAACCCATTGATACAGAATCAGCCTCAACCCCTCCGTAATGTCGTTTGAAAATAAAACTGACAAATCTTATTTCAATTTATATACATCCAAACCTACCTCGGAATGCTAATGGTATATTTGTTACTAATTAGATTAGAAAATTTTGAGTTTTGACTTCTACCACTATAGAATTTAAAATCAGTGATGGTCAATGGTTTTGGGGATGTTTTGTGTATGGTTGATCTCTATGTCCAGCTTTATAGTTTGTTCGTTTGTTAGCTACTTAAGTTAGTGATTTGACTTCACTGGCCTAATATTGTTTAGTTTTTTCAAGTGTTTGTGTTGCATCTGTTATCTTGTATCTTCACAACTTGCTGTCTTCAACTCTATCATTAAGATCATATTGGAAAACTAAAATAATTTTTTTTCAATGTTTCTTGTAAGCTCGCTATAGTGTCCTAATCTGCTAGTTAAGTTTGAAAATTAAATGACAATAGAATGAGTTATTTTATGCCACACTGGTCTTTTAAACATATAGGCTGTGTTGTGTAGGGTCCCATATTATGTGCCATAAGGTTTAAGGATAAAAATTTAAGTCGTTTTTTGAGGTTAATGTTGCATTACTAAAAATTTAAAATAATTTATATTTTATTGTAGGCTGAAGCTGCTTTTTCATCAAAGGACTACTTTAGAGCAGCATCATTTTTTGCTAAAGTGAGTGATTGTGTGGCAACTTCTTTTTAAAAAAAAAAATTGATTTAAATTTAGCTTTGTTTGTTCTTGTATTTGGGTCTAAAAAATATATCATTAAGGTTGAATTTCATATATATCCTTACATAGCTTAAATATTAAGTTTATATCCTTATAAATTTTAAAATTACATTCATGTCCATTTAAAATAATAAAATTTACATTTATATTTTGACTCATGTATTTTGAATTTTATTACAGTATAAAGAACATATGAGGGTCATGCAGTATTTAGTTATATAGACCTACTAACGGTAGTGCAACTAATTGATGCAGTGGTGCTTCCATGTTAACATATGGCTTATATTTAATGGACCAACTGAGAATATAACATGATATCTGATTGGGACCTTTTGTTATAAATATCCTTTGTATGACAGCTAGCCTAACACTTACGTTGATAGCTTGGTGTGACTAAATATCGATTACTTAAGTTGTACCTATTAATCTACAAATGGGAAAGAAGGGTTATATATTGATGTCAAATAAGAACAAAAGTGAGAGTTATATACCAACATGAAGGCAAGAAACGACGTGGGGGATTGCTTGCGCAGGTTTAGATGAGAAAAAAAAGGCTTTTGCTTAGAATTAAAGGGGTTTAGTTTAGACGGTATTTTAGTAATTTCATGAGTTATTTTGAGTTTTAGAAAAGTTTTTCTAATATTAAATTGATTAATCCCAATAAAAATATACGTTTGGACATATATGTGAAATTTATACCTTTATAATGATATATACCTAACTTAAAATTTGTAAAGATATATAGGTAATATTCAAAGTTTGTAAGGATTTATATGAAATTCTTCCTACCAACCCACTAAGTCTTCCACTAGTGACTTCGAAGTCTTCCACCAGTGAGTATCAAATTATCCATGGCAATAAGTTGCCCTGTTCTTTAGATTATTGCATAAATGAAATTAATTAATAATATACTGTGGTTAAACATGTTTTGCTGGTGGTTCGTAATTTGGATGAACAAGAGGAGCATTATACTTATACAAAGTTAGAGGCGATCAAGTTTTATTTAGTTTTATAGTTTTATGTTTTGAGTACTACGACAACATTCAGACATTTTTTTAAGACATGTGTTTTAAGTAATGTATAATATTGTTGTGAGACACGTTAAATTTAAGTTAAAAGTAATGATATCATGTTTTTCAGTTATTATATTAATTTTTTTTATTATATTATATTCTATTTAAATTTTAAAAAAATTGGACCAAATCTTTGAATATAATGTTTCTATGGTAAAAAATGACACTAAAAGCATGAAAATCATATAGTGGCATAAAAATAGTGCCACTAAAACTCAAAAGTTCTTTAGTGGCATAATAAAAAAGTGACACTAAAACCCAATAAGCCTGTAGCGGCACAACAAAAAAGTGCCAGTAAATACCTTTAGTGGCAGCGCTTTTAGTGACACTTTTTTTGTGCCGATGATTCCCTAGGGAGCCTTTAGTGGCACATTTTCGGTTTTTAGTGACACTTTTTCTATGCCACTAAATGTCATTTAGTTTGTAGTGTATCTTTGATATATAGTTAAACATTTGAATACAAAATAATAATAATAAAACCTTATTTATATTAAATGAACAAAAACATAAAAAGGAAAACATGATTTAATTGAATTATGTTATGAATTATTATTCTAGTTGTCATGAAATCTTTAACAAATATACACGAACAAAACTTCAAACAAATATTAAAAATATATTCGAACAAAATGTCAAAAAAATGTAAACGAAAAAAATATAAAAAAAATTAAACAATATATTAAAAAAAATCTAAATCATAAAAAATATATAAAACTAATAATAAATAAATGAGAAAATTATACAAATGGTCCTTATCGTAACAACACATTACATAAATGGTCCCTGCGGTAAAAAGGGTATATATATCATTTCATATGAGACTTGACTAAAAAAGTTAACAACATTAGCCAAAAGGTCATTTTGTGTTAATTTGAAATGTGAAAAGTAGCCATCGTGTCAAAAATTCTACAAAAGGACGGCTCTGTCTTTTTTGCAAACCACATGAAGCAAATATGTAATTTTGACTTTATGTAATTTACACTGTAAATAAATTACATCTTAAAGCATCTCCAATGGTAAACCTATATTATGACTTGATGATAATATTTTAAACTCTAATATTCACCCAACTCAATCAGCCAACCAAATTGAACAAAGTAAAACATTTAAACAAAAATGGGAAATATTATTGTAGCACAGTCACCTATTATCATTTACCTGATTTGGTCAATAAAGTATTCTTTCCGCAATAAGCCATTAAACTTACAATTTATATGTCTATTAAGTCACTTACATTAGTTTTTAACACATCATTCATTAACCAGTTATTGTAAATTACACAAAAGGTCCTTATATTTTCAACTTCTTTTGTAGTTGGTCTATCACTAGTACCGAACACCGTTAAACTCGATCACGCATGAGTATTCACTCACTATGGTAACTCCATATGCAAACCATTTTGTTGTCATTTTCTGAAAAATAAAGGATCTCTAAGAGTAATAATTAATCTCTATTTGATTTTGGTTTTAGGTGAGCGGTGGCGTGTGCACGAGGTGAGCGGTGGTGGTGTTGGTATTATAATAGATAACTCTATTTGTATCTTGGTTTGGTTTTTGTTATAGTTTTTTTTTTAAACGTAATAATCTAATCTATTTCTAAACAGGTCTTTAATTTCACTTATATCTACAACGGGAATTGAACCCTCAACCTCACGGACCGGATACCGTTGGGCAAAAAGCCTTTGGTTGTTTTTGTTATGGTTAGTTAATATAAAAAGACACGAGAAAAAAAAATGGTGTTCAAAATGTTAAGAAACTACTTGATATTAAAGAAATTCCAATTATAAAATTTTGCAGTTGTACTCTATTGCTTAAAAATGACAGATAAGTACTTATGGTATCTAATTTTTTTTATTAAATTATATATAAGGAACAAGATACTCATCACTTACTAATGGATTATTATTGAAGGAATAATCTGTTGAGCCGCTGTGAGTAGGAAAGCTACCAGGTGAAAAACGAATCAATTATCAAGCATCAGGTGCCTCCCCGTTGTAACAGATTCTATATCAACTCTGTATTTTGTCATAGATGGATATCAACCGTAAGCTATTTCTTCTACAGTTCTACAGTTCTACCCAATATCTCTTTTTCCTTGTTTTCTAATACTATTTAATTCCGTGAATTATTCTTTTATTAATTCACCAGGATAAATAGCAATTTATAGCTCATTGATCCTCGTAACCCCTGTTATTTTGGTTTCATCACTACAATAAAAATCACGTATTTCTATCTATAAAGCACCGAAACTTTGTGTTCTCCAGACTACTTTTTGAGTCTAAGTTAGTTGCCTTCAGTGTATTCATAGTTTCTTCAGTTTGGTACTTCTTCCGTAATTTCCCTTTACCCTTTTTGTAGTTGACTCGGGTTAATTATATATATACATGTTTACTATTGTTTCGGGAATCATTACTGATAATTCAGGGTTTTTTAGGGATGCTGATATATCCTTTGCCCCTGCATTTGAGGGAATTGCAGACAAAGGATGATGTTGGAGAGGCCGTGCGTAGATGCATGAAGAATATTGTTGTTGTAAAAGGACCGAATAATACTGTTGTTATAAAGGACCTTCAAGGACGATTTTGTTTCAATACCGGCCTCTCCGAGCTCAACGAGGCTCGTGCTATGCCGCGTACCAAGCAGGTTAATCTTATATCACAATTTCTTTCACTATTTGGGAGATTTCCACAGACACTTTCGGATCCTCATTGAAACCTACCCCGGATGATCAACTAATCACTTAAGTTTAAGATTCTTTTAGTTTATCGATGTGTTTGGACGTAATGTTTTCCATGTTATACATAGGTAACTACCTATATTACAATATTTTTTACCATAGATTAATGGATGTATAGCTAAATTAGTTATTGTCTATGCGTGTATATGTATTAAAAGAAAAATAGATAAGGGTCATATCCTTATCGCTAGTAAAAATAGGCATACCACAAAGCAAATTATTTTTTGTAGAGAAATGACTTATATATTGCTATATATAACCGTTATAAAAAGCCCAATACGAACTAGTTTGTAGTTTAGTGGTATCAGATTTTTGTGGAAAGGTAACCAAAAGTTCAGGCCCGGTTTGATGCGAAAGAAGTAGTTTAGGAATAATATAAAAGTGTTGTGTTTGGAGTTCTTAAAAAGTGTAAAAAACCCAACATTATTTACACAAAAAAAAATATTTAACCTAGATGGCTAAGCAAGTCACTTTGGTGACAACATTAACTATTTTTTTTAAAGTCATTTTACAAAACCCTAAATGCACAAAATACCAACTTATTTCTATTTGTTTGTGTATAATAACTTTTTTCTATTTTCTTTTTATTACAACATAGTCTCTGCATTCGAGTTCGGTTTTCAAAAAACCAACAAAATTACACCATTTTACTTTCTTTTTTCCACATTAAGATTATATTCATTAAAATCTCTCTCTCTCTCTCTATATATATATATATATATATATATATATATATATATATATATATATATATATGAGTGTGATGAAGGTGGTTTTATCACATGGTTGGGTGATGTTATTAGGTACTGAATTGAACACACACATGATATATATATATATATATATATATATATATATATATATATATATATATATATATATATATATATATATATATATATATATATCAATCATGTGTGAGTTCAATTCAGTACCTAATAACAACACCTAACCATGTGATAAAACCACCTTCATCACACTCATATTAAATTCAGGAATGATGGGTACCATGGTTAGAACCAGTTTTTCATATTCATAATCATAACAATTAATTACAGGGATATTTTGTATATGCCACTGCTCAATGTCGAAATATAATATTTTCTAAACCTATTTTCTAAATATTACATTTACTTTTCTTAAACCTTTGAAAATATCATATTTGTCCAAATTTAACTTTTAGCATGTTTAATATTTTATATTTTAAAATCTTTATATCTATTAGAAAAAATAGATTGACCATATTGGCCCTCGTCTAAAATTATTATACTTATAATAAAATTGTATTAAACTACACCCATTTTACATACTATTTTATCATTCAGGGTCGGTCAATCAAATACCTATTAATTTTATCTAGCGCTTGACTTTATACAACCAAATTTCTAAATATCATATTTTCTCATCTTAAACCTTTATAATATCAAATTTGTCTAAATGTTTACATTTAACAATTTTAAAGAATTTATAATCAATTTAAATCCTTCTTTTTATTAAATTACTATTATATGCTTTCTATTTTCGTAGGTTTAAACTTTTAAAATCATTATGACTATATTAGTGTAGTAATTCCCCAAAGTCTCTATACAAATGCAACAATTCCCAAAAGAAAGTGTTTCTTAAAGTTTCTTGTTTTCTCATCCCAAATTCACTGAACAATTGAACAAACTAGAAAGGTGATGATCCTGAAGGATGACAATGAGAACATATTACTAAGGTGTTGGATTAAGTTTATGTGTCCTTCAAGTATATACAATAGATAGGTTTGAGGTGGCTTAGTAAACAAAGATTACTAATTAGAGTTCGATGAATCCAAAAAGTAAAACAATTCAAGAACAATGAAGGGCTTCTAATGGACCTGTCATATGTAATAAGGCCACAAGGGCTATCCATCACTAACCACTAATGTGGGGGTCGACACCTCATAACCACATCCAACAACATTGCACTTAGTATACATACTACTAAACACCACTCCATATCAATTTTTATTTGAAATACAATATATATATATATATATATATATATATATATATATATATATATATATATATATATATATATATATAAACTAGTTTTTCATTCATTTAAAAAAACACACACCAACTAAAAAAACAAGAATTTAAAAAATTTTAAAAAAGTCAAAAAGCAACATAAAAATTCCTAACATAAAAAACTACTCCCTATTCCTATATCTCGCTCCAATGAATTCTTTCATTGCAAGAAATATATGTAAATCGTTGTCCTAGTAGTTGCCGACATTCATTTTAATATCTCCACTTGTTGAAACGACGTTTGCACATTAATCAGTTTTCTTCCACCTGACTCATCATCGCTAACGTGCTCTCTTATAGTTGGAAATATCGATCAAAGTTTTCTATAAAATGATCAATATTGCTAGAACTCAAAAGTTTTGAACCCGAACCGGAAGCCGCTTTCTTTGCTGTATTTCTTCCTATCGGTCGATGAAGAGGTTGTTTATCTTCAAAATCCACTGACTCATCATAACTGTCAATGTGTGTTCGGGAGTCCGATTGTTGTGAACTTCCATTGGCATTTCTTGTACGCGTCAAACCAAAAGAAGTCTCTTCTGTAAACATCGAAATCGATTGACCTGATTTTGTGTAGGTTGTTTAGATTGTTGTAGTTTCCTTCTAATTTGGTACATTTTAGCCTCAAATCACACTAATTCAAACTAATATTTTGGGATTTTAGCTTTCACTTCCCATCAAACCATAAAACACGGTTTAAACATTTCCATAAAAACAAGTAGATGTTTAATCATCTACATGTATGGGGTCTTGGGAAGCTAAAACCCATGTTTGACCTAATTTCTCTTCTTCCTATTTTGTCCGATTCACTCTTTTCTCTTTGATTGGTTTGAGTGGTAACCACTAGTTTTTTTTTTCATTTTTTGGTAATAGTGGTGGTGAAGGTTTTGTCTCGTCTACAAAATCCAATGAATCTGGTGGTGAAAAATGTGGTTGTGAAAGTTAGAGTGGTGATGGTTGTTGTTGTGGTTGTGTGTGGAATGGTTGTTGGTATATGAAAGTAGATTGGACTTATTGTGGAAAGAGTTGTTGATAGGGTGAGAAATGTTGATATGATTGCTGATAAAGTTGAGTTTGTTGGATAAAGAATCCACCGTGGAGCAAATTCATAAAACCACCTTGAATTGACTACATGAGTATCGGCATGCAGTTGTATCTAACACAAAAGCGCTGTCGACCTTGCGGTTCGATAGTTTGGTGAGGTGTTTTGATTGAGATCCAGGGTTTTTGGATTTTAAAACAATACAAATGTGTGTATGTAAATAGATTAAGAGAAGAATGGTGTTAAAAATTTCGTTGTATGCAGTGGAACTTATAGGTGAAAATTTACTATTTTTTTTTTGATAAATCAAAAACTAATCGTTAAACGGCTAGTCAACCAAGTTAGCACCCAAACCTCTCCAATCGGTGGTTATCCATCATCGTAGCCACCACAAACTCCCACTCTCACGACCACTCTCACGACCACGACCACGACCACGACCGATCACGAACCATCGGAGTGATGTTCATAGATAGTGGTCGTTACCACGTAAACCATAAAGCCATCCCTGGAGAGTACTCTAGAGGGCCTAATAACATGATAATGCTCTGTAATGGCAACCACTAGATACCATTAATAGGTATTTATTGCATTAGCGGATTGACCAAGCATGAATGACAAGCTAATGTGTAAAATGTGTGTAGTATACTAATGGCACTGCATTGAATGATCGATGCAAGAGAACATTTCCGGTATTACAACATTTTTGTTATAATTATAATGATTGTAAGGAGGAGGCAATACGGTCAATTTATTTTTTTTATAATTATAATAATTTTAAAATATAAAAACTGATTATAAAATATTAAAAAATATTAAAAAAATGTTAAAAAAATATTGGGCAAATATTTTGTTTTGAGAGTTTAAAAAAATTAAATATGATATTTATAAATACATTGGATAAATATAAAATTTATAAATATGTTGGACAAATACGATATTTCGATGTTTAACAAAGTATATATGAAATTATCTCAATTTATTAAAGATATATACAAAATTCACCCTTAATTAAAAAAAACAAAAAAACGCATGACGATCTCTATCTCTGGTACGGGATTGCATAAAAAATAGAAGAATCATCTTCATAATTGCCGTAGCAGATTATTCGTTATGTTGAAAGCGTTTCAAGAAATTTGATAAAAATAGCAAAACGATTTTGATTAATCTCACAAACTGAACAGGAGTTTGAAGTGTTGAATAGATTGAGACAATTGATTCTTGAATCAGATTTGAAAGTAGCAATTACGAAATTTCAGGTAAACCACCTCAAAATATGATATGTGTTGTCGCACTTGTTAAATGTTAATTAATTATAATTATTATACATTATGTTCCATTGAAGCAGTCAAACGACCTGAAAATACCCCTCCATGTCATAAATGTTTGCACCCAATCCTTCAATGAAAAAAAATTCATCGGGAAGGGGGGTTACGGAAGGGTTTACAAGGGAATACTTACCTGGGCAAATTATATAAACAAACTAGTTGCTGTAAAACGGCTAGATGTCACTGGATTTCAAGGTAACAAGGAATTCCACACAGAGGTCACAATGCTTTCAGAGTATAGACACAAAAACATTATAACACTTATAGGGTATTGTGATGATAATGAGGAGAAAATCCTTGTTTATGAATATGCAAGCCATGGAAGCCTTGACAAATATTTAAGTGGCCGTGCAATGTCGGGTGGACTTTCATGGCCACAACTCCTCAAAATATGTATTGGTGTTGCATCTGCACTGGACTATCTTCATAACAACGTGGCCAGAAAACACAGAATAATACATCGCGATGTAAAAAGCGCGAATGTTTTGTTGGATGAGAATTGGAATGCAAAACTTTCGGATTTTGGGTTGGCTAGGATAGGCTTAGCAAATCAACATAACACCTTTGTGATCACCAACATTGCTGGCACACATGGTTATTGTGACCCACAGTATGAAAGAACAGGGTTTTTAACAAAAGAGTCGGACGTTTATTCGTTTGGAGTGGTTTTGTTTGAAGTTTTGTGTGGAAGGCTAGCGTGTATTTTGAAGTACCATGATGCATGAACGGAGATTCCTTCATCATTGGGCTCGAACCCACTACAAAAATGGAGAGCTAGATAAGATTATTGACCAGAGAATAAAGACAGAAATTAACCCAAGAACATTAAGCAAGTTCTCAGCTATTGCATATCAATGCTTGCACAAAACTCGGGAACAACGGCCTACAATTGCTGAAATTGCATTCCAACTTGGGGAAGCCTGGAAAATCCAAGTAAGTTTAAACATAGTTTTTATCTATGACTTTAATACGTACATCTTTTTAGGGGAAAAATAAGGATGTCCATAAAGTATATGAGTGGCTGACACGACAATTGTTTTTGGTCCATCATCAGTTTACAGGATGAATGGCAAAAGGAGATGAGACTTTTGTCACATGATGCATAAGAAAGAATCATTAGTGAATCTTTATTAAACAAGGGAGACATGGACGAACAAAATCTAAACTAAAACTAGGTTTTATGGTTTTAAAGAGAAACAGTGAGACAACACAACATCACATGTTGGTCTTCTACACAGATGAAAAAAGCATTGAAAGATTACCAAATATTTGTTTCTTTGTATATCTACTATATATGTTTCTGTGTTAATTAGGGATGAGCATATGGACCGGGGAACCGGCCAGAACCGGTACCGGAACCGGAACCCGATGGAACCAGTCGGGCCGGGACCGGGACGTTATTTTTGTGGATTTTTGGAACTGGGAACCGGTAGGAACCGAAACCGATATAACCGGAACCGTATGATGCTATTTTTCAAGGATCGATTCCAACATTTGAAGACACGACAAGAACCGGTAGGAACCGGGAACCGGTAGAACCGCAGGGCCGGTTCGGTTCTTGATTTTGGCCGAAGCCGGTTCCCGGGTCGGGTCCGGTTCGGGCCGGTTCCGGCCGGTTCGGTCCTTTTGCTCATCCCTAGTGTTAATGCATGGCCTATAAGTTTTGTTGCATTGTAACATTTGTAGTTGAAAAAAGTTAAACTCTAAGCGATTGTAATTTATTATAATACGAACACAATGCATCTGTTTTTATCACTACTAGAAACATGGGTTTTAGAGACGGAAGTATCCGTCGCTATTCCGTCGCTAAATGTTGTTTGCGATGGATCAGCGACGGACTCACTCCATAGGTAATTAATAGGTGGCTAATTTCTCAGCGAGGGTTTTAGCGACGGAGAGGTTTTTCCTTGCGACAAATGTAGCGACAGAATATCCGTCGCTAAATGTCACTCAATACATTTACTCAGGGCATTAGCGACAAAATTTGATAAAGTCATTTCGTCGCTGTTCTGTCGCAAATTTCCGTGATCAGTTTTTTTCCGTAGCAAATCCCTTGCAAATTTCATATACTGATTTTTTTTTCGTCGCTGATCTGTCGCAAACTTTAGACATGGTTTTTTTCCATAGCTAATCCCTTGCAAAATTTATACATTAATTTTTTTTTGTTCCGTCGCTGATCCATCGCAAACTTTAGACATGATATTTTTCCGTAGCTAATCCCTCGCAAAATTGATGCATTAAAATACTTTTTTTATTCTCACCAATCCGTCGCGAACTTGTAATATCATTTTTTTTATTATGATTCTAAAAGAAAAAATACTACAATCATCAAATTTTTATACTAAAAAACATCAAATAACAATACAACCAAACATTACAATACCAAAACTATCAAAGTTTACCAAAGTATCATTCAAAAAACATCCAAAACCAAAACTATCCATTTAACATCAAACTCCCAAATGTTTAACTTCAAAATAACATTTTAGCACCAAGAAATCCAAAGTATGCAAAAGAGGTACAAACAAAAAAAAAAGTTTAACCTTCAAAATAACATTTTAGCTGCTCTCTTCATTTCATGTCCATCCAATCATCTTCGGTTCTCATTCTTATAAAACATTATTCAAAACAATCAAAAGTATCAAATACAAAAGGTTAACAAGTCATTCAAAAACATCAAATACTAATGGTTAACATCATATTACCTCTAATTTTCAATTTCTCATCATATTTTGCAAGGCTGCATACATCTTCACCATTGCTTCATATTTTGTATCAATTTGTTGTTGTTTGGCATCTATTGCTGCAGCTTTGGCATCCATTTCCTCACGTATTTGTTGATGTTTAGCTTCTATTTCTGCAGCTTTAGCATCCATTTCCCCACGCATCTTGTTTCGTACACGTTCATAGACAACCTAAAGTACAATGATAGAAAACTTTGTAAGTACAATGCCATGATAGGAAACTTTGTAAGTACAATGCCATGATAGGAAACTTTGTAAGTACAATACCATGATAGAAAACTTTGTAAGTACAATGCCATGATAGGAAACTTTGTAAGTACAATACCATGATAGGAAACTTTGTAAGTACAATGCCATGATAGGAAACTTTGTAAGTACAATGCTATGATAGGAAATTTTTATAAAGTACAAAATTAAACGAACCTCTTGGGATGTTATTGTACTAGATGTTCCTTCCAAAAAGCTCGTTGGATCAGACACAGATCCGAATCCATATATTCTTTCTTTCTTCACTCCTCCGGAAACATCACACCATGTTTCATTATCCAAGAGGGGGTGGCAACTAGTATCATCACCAAACTTAGCCACCATAGCACTTTCATAAGCCTCCTATTATAGCAAAAAAAAATATAAAAAAAACAGAAACATGAAATAAGGAATGGAATGGTTCATTCCATTCCATTAAATTCATAATCAAGGAATGGAATGAACCACTTCATAAGCCTCCTATTAATTAATACTCAAACCTTGCATAAAGTTGATTACTACTTACAAAACACTTAATTACAACTAGGCAGAGGATCAAACATTTAGAGATAATAATTTGTTTCTTTTCTTTTGTAAGTTGATTACTACTTACGAAAGATTTGTTTTCTGTCAATTTGTTGCTTTAACAAAGTCATTAACCCGAGTAGTAGGAAGTTTTGTTTCCTACAAAAGAATTAAAAATACCTTAACTTTAGCTGCCTTTGGTGTAATGTACTCTTGAGTAGACCGTTTAGTGTGCAACCTTGCATAAAGTTCAACTCCTGTAGGAGGGCGTTTAAGTGTTGCTTGCTACAAAATCCATTAGTAATACATTAAAAAACAAAACAAAAACTCAATAGTCTAAGTGGAAACTAAGGTGAGATGCAAACATCTTACCATTCTTTTCTTATGTTGACGAATAGATATAGAACCCCCGGTATGTTTGGAAACAGAGCCATCTTCTAATTTATTTTTGTTATTTTTCCCTGATTGTGATAAACTTTTCCATTTGGATGTGGTCCACACTTCATTGATCATTTTTTCCTAATACTCCTTTTTATCCAATTTGGGTGATAGTCCTTTAGCAAATTTAAATCACCTTCTAGTGAGGCATTGACATTTGCAGCTTTGGAAAGTTTTAAAGATTCTTCACGTTCTCTTCGAATTATGTCAGGAAATTGTTTCTTCATACAATCTTCCCATACCTTGCGAGCAAGAACATCAGTCTCTTCGGGCCAGACATACAAACCCTACATGTAGATCATGCATACAATTATCTTTTTCATTTTACACCAAGTTTTACTTTGATAAATCATAAAAATAATAAGTACAAACCTTGAAGTGTTCCCACATTGCATCACGATGTTCTTTGTCAACCTTCTTCCATGAGGTCCATGGGCCGTCAAACATCGTCTTCAGTATACATGTGATGGCTCTGATCACTGAAATCTGATCCGTAAATCTTGCAAAAAAAAAAATTAAAAAATTAGCATTAATATTATCATTAACAAGTAAATTCATTTTCATAAACAATTGTAAAATTAACATTAGTACTCGTTTTCAGAATCGACTTCAATGAACTTCCTTTTTGATGGGTTACTTGGAACTTGTTCCAAGATGTTTGATCCTCTAACTGAAGAAGAAGAAGGTTGATTTTCTGCATTATTGTGTGATTGAGATGCATTTCTATCTCCAGCATCACAACCACCAGTGTGACTACCACTAGGACCACCACCACGGGCTCCTCGTGGCGCCATTAGTCAAAAAATAACCCTTAAAATCAAGAATTAATAAACTATTGGTTAGAACAAGTATGTATTATAATAGAAAATTATAGAAGTAAGAGAAGGTAACATGCTATAATACACAAATAAATGAAAGTGCAATGTATATAGAAAAAGAAAACGATCATTTTAGCTAAAAAGTTATTGATAAGGTCCATTAGGTAATATATAGTTCCAAATACATTGTTTCATTCTACATTTTTAGTAATTACTCATCATCAGAATTATCATCACATATGTTGTCTTCATCTTCAATATCATCTTGGGATGAATCATCCAAGTTATCATCAACTTCTTCATCCTCTTCTCTCTCAATGTCATTGTCATTAACTTCTTCTATTTCTCCTTCAATTACATGAGAAAGGGGTCCTGCCACCTCATTTGTACCGCTACTTGTAGAAGGTAAAGTTGCTTCACTTTCTTGAAAGAATTGGTCCTCTTCATCCTCATCATCATCTTCTTCAATAACACATTGTCGTAGATCATATACACCCCTTGGTTTCGTCTTGATGACAGCCCACCAATCTTTCAAATCCTTCATTGCAGGATATGGTGCATAATACACTTGTTCTGCTTGTGACGCTAGGATAAACGGATCTTCATTTCTTAGCCTTGATTTGTATTTAATATCAACCAAATTATGCTTTCGATCCACACGTACCCCTTCAGTAGGGTTAAACCATGTACACTTGAACAATACTACGACGCAACACCCTATGCCTTGATATTCTACTTCCAAGACCTCATCCAACAACCCATAATAGTCACACTCAGTCTCATTGTAACAAGTCCCTCTTACACATACACCACTATTGTGTGTTACCCGTCCATCACCATATTTTTCAGTATGAAACTTGTAACCATTGACAAAGTATCCTTTATAGGACCTAACATGTCGTAATGGTCCTCGTGCAAGGCATTTCAGATGTTGACTGATATCATTTGATTGTTGAAAAACCTACATTGATAAATTCATTTGTTAACTAATTCACGGGGGAAGACACTTTGGTAATACAAGTTTTTCTCGTATCATACTCACATGATCTTTAAACCACTTAGCAAAATGTTGATCCCTAAACCTTTCAAATGCTCCATCATCCATATCAGGTTGGCTTTGGATCACATAATTTTCAAACAACCTTAAAAAATAACAAACATTTTAGAGATTCACGACATCAAGGAAAAATAGATAACTTGACATACCTTAAAAAAGGTAGAACCTCAACACAATTGATCAAGATGTAATTATGAGCAATACGCATCTCATCATCTGTCAAAGGCCTCCGTTGACCACTTTTTTCGAATAATCTTCGAGATGGAACTTTGAAAATGCTTAATCGAGAGTCGACCATGGTATAACTAGGACTGTCTGGGGCAAAATTACGCGACTCACAATTCAACCGGGTTTCAATTGTAGGCAAAAAGTATTGTGAGCAAAAAGTCGATATTTCTCCAATCATGTAAGCCTCAACAATGGACCCCTAAACCTTCGCATGGTTTTTTTATCTTTCTTTTCATTGATCCCAACTTCCTAAAAAGATGTTGGAAAAGGCTTATTAGAAATTCCATAGGTTTTATGGTAGAATCTTTTGTATGGTAAAAAATATACCTTTCATAAAGATACATCCACCTATATTGAACCGGACCACCAAGCATAGCTTCTAGAGCTAAGTGGATAACAAGATGCTCCATTGAGTCAAAGAATCTAGGTGGAAATATTTTTTCCAACTTGCAAATGGTTTCAACAATAGTAGTTTGCAAGCGTTGTAAGTCATCTACGCGTAACACCCTTGAACATATTACACGAAAGAATGTACACAACTCTGTAATTGCATCCCATGTTGAATTTGGCACCATATCTCTTAGAGAAATAGGCAACAATCTTTGAAGAAATACATGGCAATCGTGACTCTTGAATTTGTAAAAGCTATTATCATCTACATTAACGCACCCCCCCCCCCAGTTTGAGGCGTATCCGTCCGGGAATTTAAGTTTAATCAACCATTGGCATATTTTAGCTACTTGTTCTTTTCTCAAAGCAAACGATGCTCTCTTTTTCATATCCTTATTTCCCTTCTTCCATGTATGCCATTGCACTCGATTGCAATACATTTCTATATCTTTTCTTGCATTCATGTTGTCTTTGCTTTTTGGAGTGTCCATCACGGTGTTGAAAAGATTTTCAAACACATTTGTCTCAATGTGCATGGGATCAAGGTTGTGTCGTATTAACAACTTCCGCCAATATGGTAGCTCCCAAAAGATGCTCCTCTTAACCTAATTATGAGTAATCCCGAAACCAGGCAATTTTGCATTCTTCGCTCTAAAAGGTTTGCCTTCATAACCAGTTGGAAAGTGTCGTACTTGCTCCCAAAGGAAACAAACAAAGACAGAAATTACTTATACATGAGAATCAACGTATTCGTACTAGATAAAACAGATTAAGCAATTAATACTGAACGCACTGATCTTTTACTGGATTTAAATTAACCACAACAAGTCACATATCTGCTCTATGTTACCGGCAAGAGGTAATCTTGTCTCTATTCTACTGCTCTTTATTGTTGTAAAAATCATCCGAGTCTGACAAGGTGACACCCAGGCAGTAGCTAGAGTTTTACTTGTAAATAATTTGGTCTGGAAAAAATTGGTTAAAAGTCGCTTTAGGCGGTCAAAAAACAGCTGAAATAAAACATAAGGTGGGAATCAACATACTATTTGAAAATGAGTACTTTAGTTTTCAAGTTGTTAAATGTATTATGGTGATAATCACTTGAGGTAATTGAACATTAGGACTTGCGTTATTTTTCTATAAATTGGAATTCTTTAGACTTGCCCTCGCCATTGACACATGTCTGATTCTACTACGGACGTGAACATCAACAACTCATTTATTATGCTATTATCAAAGGTGAAGATACGAGTTTAATGCACACAAAAAATGAAGTCTTCTTCAATAAAAGACATGTCAATCTTTTTACTTCTCAGTTCATCTCGTAATACTATCGTTATGAATTAGGAAGGGATAATTTGAAATTGAATTTGGATGGGGTTTTATTCTTCGATGACATTGTAAGATCCTCTGAATGATGACGAATGCGGACATATAATGATTATGAGAATCAAACAATATCAAGAACACGAGATGTAAATAAAGTGTTTTAAGCTCTCATTAATCTAGAAAGTTATTACAAAGTGGGTCATCCAATATTTCTATCTCTAGACTAATCTCACATTCTTACATAAATGGGATCATCTCACTTCCTATTTAAAAAAAAAAGCTCAACCCATTACACATCCCTTAGAGGGCAAGCCTACATCACATCCAATGAGAACTTTGCACCCTAACATTCTCCCCCTCAAAATTAGGATTGGATGTCCCGACTTCAATATCCAAACCAGCACGAAGCGATCAAGACCAACTCCCCCTCGAAGCAGCACTGGTTTTCAAGTCCTCTTTGAAAAAGAATATCCTTTCGAATACCCATTTCAATTCTCTCCCCCTTTTTATAATAAACAAATGATTATAAAACGCCAAAAGGGTAAGAGAAATGCTCGATGAATAATCCATATGAAAATCCCCTCGATGTATGACAAAAATGAAACGATTCAAATCCGAGAAAATACCCCAAAAAAATACGCCAATGTCTTCAAACCTTTGACTTCCCGGACTTGAAAATGAACACCAGCTGTTTATATACCACGAAAAATCTTACACCAAAAACAACCACGAAAAGCCGAGAGAAAATATTCAAAAGCTGTGAAGATTTCGACTTTTGGGTGAGAGTTGCAGTCTGAAAATGGGTACCATTTTCGCAAGTACTTCGGGGACCGTTGCGAAAAATCCCCCCACTTCACAGAAATAGCGAAAATACCCCGGATTCAAAACTGGGTAGAAACTGTCAAATCACTTAAATTGTGCGGACCTGAAATGAAATATCAAATCTTCTTCTTCCCTAATTCTTGATAAGCCACGAACGCAACAACAACGTAGTTGAACCCTAAAACTCTCAGGCAAGTTTTGATCCTCAGACTTAATCCCGACCAGGATCGTTACATGGATGATACTCAATATACTTGGAATAATCACATTAATAGTTGCATTGACAGTTATCTTCAGTCCCAAAACTGTATTGATAGTTACATTGTAGACGACGACTACTTCACTTATTAGATTAGTATTAACCGCATGTCCCAGAATGAAATGGGATGGAATGGAAAAAACGGGAAGCGCTATCAGTTCGGTTTTATTGGGAGGGAGAAAATTGTGAAAAAGGAAGCTTATCCTTTGTAGATGTGCTTGTCGATGAGCATGCATAAACTGAAAGACTTAATTCACAGCAAACATCATGTCGGGTCGGGTCAACGTGAAAGATTTTAGGCCTCCCATCTTTCGCCGCCTATCTCATGCTTCTTCTTTCTCCGATTCGGTTCCAAGTGTCAGTCAATCAAGATTCGCCATCAAGGGGAGGAGGACCCAAAGGTAAAGCCAACAGACATAAAAAAACAGGTGCTATTGCGGCTACACCTCCCGCTTTGTCAGATATACTACGAAGAATGGCATTGATCGGTAGTAAATACCATTGCGGTACAATATGAGGCGGGATGGGCATCAGATTAGTAGGTATATAATTGTCTGGATGCCCCAAAGCCGAGTGATCACAGGTCCGGGGATAAGGTACTCAGTTGTGGAAGGGCACTGCCTCACATTTGTCTTTGTTACTCAGAAGTTGCATCACTACTTCATGTCCTTCACAGTTCATATTGTGATAAGATGTGACCCAATCAAACACTTAATGTCTCGAGTTATACTATGCTCATAGGGAGAGCTGCTCGGCGGTTCCTGATCTTTCGACTATTAAGCAAAAAACTTTCGTTTCTTGTCCAATTTTTCATAACAATTGAACCCAATCATGCTTCAATTTCATCCTCACTACATTAATATGACTTGCTGAAAACCTAAACTTATGCTT